TGTGCGCCCGGCGGCCCGCGGCGTCCCTGAGGTCCCGGCCGCCTTTCCCAGTTTCCACGAGGTTGCCTCCCACCCTCTTCTCCTCGCGTCCGCGAACCCAGCCTTGGCCTCGCGATCGTCTCCACCTCACCCGTCGCCCCGCCATTTTCGGCACTGCCTGTCCCGGAGTCCCTGTGCAGCCCCAGCCTCCTGCTCCCATCCCGGGATCCGCTAAGTGCAGAGCGGGGAGGGTGCGGTTGAGAGCGAGTTGTGTACAGAGCTCCTGCCACCCATGTGGCGTTCGTTTCTCCTCATCCCCCGCCATGCCTGTCCCTGTCCACACCTAGGCACCTCGGACCCGCTCCTAGGTGCACAGCAACACCGGAACGCGGGGCGACCTCTCTCTCGCGTCCATTCTGCTCTCCTGAAAGGATGTCGGGACGCGTTTCTCCAGGTCCTCCTTTGCATATAAGTCTCCATGCTCCCCACAGCCTTAGGGCGGCCCCACTACGGAATGGCAGTTCTGGACATGTGGGATCTCTCCCCAAGGAGAGATGACTTCAGGTGATACGCAGATCCTGCTTTAAATTAGAAAGCAAGATGGGGGAGGTGGCGGGAAGCCACGCTGTAGTTCCAGCTACTTGGGAGGCTGAGGCGGGAGGATAGCTTGAGTCCAGGAGTTTGAGTTATGCCTGAACAACATGGGGAGTCAACCTCTCTAAGAAAATATTGAAAAGAAGACATCTAGTTATTTCTCTTCAGTATGCCTATTGCATAACATTAAGTCTGTATCAGTGTTTTCTTTTGTCTTTGTTGTTGTTGAAACATTCTCACTCTGTCGCCCAGGCTGGAGTGCAATGGGATGATCTCCTCTCACACAGGCTCCGCCTCCCAGGTTCAAGCATTCTCCTGCCTCAGCCTCCTGAGTAGCTGGAATTACAGGCGCCTGCCACCATGCCCGGCTAATTTTTTTGTATTTTTAGTACAGACGGGGTTTCGCCATGTTGACCAGGCTAATCTTGAATTCCTGACCTCATGATCCACTCACCTCGGCCTCCCAAAATGATGGGATTACATGTGTGAGCCATTGTGCTTGGCCACCAGTCCCTTTTCAAACATTTTCATTCATTGAATCCTCAGAACAATCCTAAATGGAAATAGAATTTATGAACCCATTTTGCTAATCAAAATACTACAAAGAAAAGAGTTCAAGTAACTGGCTAGTAGTCATCACAGAGATGAAAAGTTGTGCACTGATTTAAATCCAGCCAGCCTCTTCAAGGAAAGTGTCCATGATAAATCGTTCCTTTGGCCCAGGTATGTGGCGGACATGTCTCTATTGCTGGAAATCTTTTAAACAACAGGGGCCTGGCTCACACCTGTAATCCCAGCACTGAGGAAGGTCGAGACTGATGGATCACCTGAGGTCAGGAGTTCAAGACCAGCCTGGCTAACATGGCGAAACCCCATCTCCACTAAAAATACCAAAATTAGCCTGGCGTGGTGGTAGTCACCTGTAATCCCAGCTACTCAGGAGTCTGAGGCAGGAGAATTGCTTGACTCCCGGGAGGCACAGGTTGCAGATCGTGCCATTGCACTCCAGCTGGGAACAAAGATGAAACTGTCTCTCAAAAAACTCCCAAATAAACAACAGGAAGCTAGCAGCTACATTGGGGCATGGCAAAGACAACCATAAGTGTAATCCACACACATACACACACATGTGCACGTGCATGTGCACACACACACATTAATTTGGGGCTATCTTCCATGTGTGGGACAAAATTTATTTTCATTTTCTTTGGTGGAAAAGAGTTTTCTTTTCATAAAAGTATGTTTAAGAAAATATTAATAATTTCAATGTAAAATATTAACTAAAAGATGGTGCAGGTGGTAACAGAAAGGGCAGTCATTCCTCTGTATCTGTGTATGAAGCACAGAACTTTGCTCATAGATTTATAACCCTAGTGTTGATTAAAAGTTTGTGGGAACAGTGAATGGTCTCTTTGGACCACAGGACACATGCTTGTGTGGTAGATGAGCACTCCAGGCCTTTGTGTGCAAAGAAATAAATATCCCCTTTGCTCCTTAAAGTGATCCAAAAAAGCAATAGTTAATATTGTAGAGCACCCACCCCGCACAATTATAAGTTCCTTCTAAGTATTAAATCCTGTAATGCTGTAAGCCAGACGTTAGTATTATGCCCCTTGTACAGTGGAGGAGACTGAGCCAGAGAGGTTATGCCATGCAGCTAAAAGTGACAGAGGTGGGATAAGCACTCAGGCATGCTGACTGCACCATGATACCCTCACCCACGACTCTGTGCCACCAAGTCACATGAAAGATAAGGACATGGAAAATGTAGCACAGAGGCGGCAGTAGGAAGTGAACTCTGTTGACAGTCATGTCCCGCTGCACAGCTCTGTGATCGCTCTGGGCATCAGTCTCATCTCTCAAGCCAAGAGCCAAATTTGTGCATCCCAAAGAGCCTGTATCTTTGAACTGAGATAGGCAAGGTTTAGCATCCCGTGGCATCATAATGTACCAGCTGTGTTCAGGGCGACAGGCCCAGTGCAGCATAGGTTCATTCATCCCTTTACTTCTGAGATATGTGACATTGGGTAGGTAATTAACTACTCTGGAAGACAGCATCAGCACTCCAGGCCCTGCATATTTGCTGTCCCACTCTTGAGGCCTGTGACTCTCGTTCCTGAAGTCATGTGATTAGATGAGATGAAGGATGGGAAAGGCTTATGCCTGCTCAAATGCAGGGGCAGCATCTTATTGAAAAGTGCTTTCCACAGGTCATCCACCCTCCTCCTGGCAGGATCAGCCAGGTTGCAATCTCATTCCCAGCATCCATTCCACAGCAATGTTTTCAAACCTTTAAGGTTCTCTTAGCTTTGCTATTTAACAGGATTCATTCTCCAAAAAAGCCAGTGTACAGAGAATGTTCATGATTGCTACTATTTATTAAACCCGAGTCAGGGGCCAGACCATGCTGTCTTTTAATCCCTGCATTGAGATACAATCTGCTTTCTACAAATAAGGAAGTGAAGGCTCAGAGACTTTCCGTGATGCACTCCGGCCACATAGCCAGTACATGGAGAAGTGGGCTGTGAACCAGGGACTGCCTGACACCAAAACCCATGTCCCAGGCGCAGGCGGCCTTCTGAAATCTCTTCACAGGGCAGCACTGAGCCCGGTCCTCACCTGTAGCCCAGGAGGATCATCTTCCTCTTTGACTGAACATCAAATTGCCTTCCCTCCACATAGCCAGGGGAACTAATTGTTGGCTTTAATTACAAGTCAGCCAGGGCCTCACTCCTTCCTAATGAGCACCACCACACTCTCCAAACTGCAGAATCTGCCATCATTCCTGCATAGGCAGACATGAAGTATTTCATATGGAACCCATGATCACACACACTTCATTGTGTCAGGAACATGCCAGGCATTTCCTTCCATATTCCGGGTCACTTTACTGGTTTGAAGTAGTCAAGGGAGGAAATTTGAAAGAGGAACAAATTCAGCCCGAGCTTGGGAGAAATTCTGGAATATTCAGAGCCATTTCACAACAGGGAGCTCTCAGGGGTCAGTGAGTGTCCTGTCAGTGACTCTGGGAAGGCCAAACCTGATGGTCCCTTGTGGGGATGTGCTGGACAGTGCTACTCAAGGTGTGTGGCCACACACTGGGGCCTGTTTGCTTTTTCTTTCTTTCTTCTTCTTTTTTTTTTGAGACAGAGTCTCAGTTGCCCAGGCTGGAGTGCAATGGTGCAATCTTGGCTCACTGCAACATTTGCCTCGGGGGTTCAAGCAACTCTCATGCCTCGGCCTCCCAAGTAGCTGGGATTACTGAAACATGATGTCATACCTGATTAATTTTTGTATTTTTAGTAGAGATGAGGTTTCATCATGTTGGCCAGGCTGTTCTTGAACCCCTGGCCTCAAATGATCCACCCACCATGGCCTCCCAAAGTGCTGGGATTAGAGACAGGCCTGAGCCACTGCACCTGGTCTAGTTTGCTGTTTCCTGTCTGCAGTGAACATCATCATATGTTCAAAGCTTGCACATCTTTCATTTTCCTTTATTTCTTCATGTATTCATTGAATGTTTTTATAGTTGAATATTAAATATTGGTTTTGTATATTTTGTTTTATTTCATTATCTCCATAATTGATATGATTACATTTACCAAGGTTTGAGTCTCTGATGGATGGGAAATAAACACTGTCCCTTCACCATAGTGTTGGAAAAGCCCCATTGTGTTAGTCTGTTTGCTTTGCGGGAAGGCAATCCCTGAGACTAGGGAATTTAAAAAGAAAAAATGTTTGTTTTGACTTCTGTTTCTGCAAGCTGTGCAGAAGTGTGGTGCAGGCATCTACCTCTGGTGAGGGTCCCGGGAAGCCTACAATCCTGGCAGAAGGCCAAAGGAGAGAAGGCACATCACATGGAGAGACAGGGAGCAAGAGAGAGAAGGGGACGGTGCTTGGCTCTTTTAAACCACCAGCTGCAGTGACCTACCAGAGGAAGAACTCTCTTCACCATGGGATGGCACCAGAGGGATCACTCCTCATGATCCCAAAACCTCCCACTAGACCGATATTGGAGGTCACATTTTAACCTGAGATTTGGCAGTGACAAAACATCCGAATCATAGCACCCATGTAGGATTCAAGGAACTGAGGAGTTGGGTTCCAGCACTGTAGACACTTTAGAGCCTAAAATCCAATGTGGATCGAAGTTGGGCAGAAAAATCAGAAAATAAAAATGAGGGATAAAGTTTCTGTGCCACAATTGACATGAGACTGGAAGCGATCCTGTATGGCCCCCACCCATGTGGTGTGGCACAGTGCAATGCCACTTTACAGCAGTGTAGACTCAGTGAGGTAGCCTGGCTTCCTGAAGGTGTTCACATTGTTAGTGGCTCACATTTCCATCCAGAGTTTGGTCTCTAAAATCCCAGTTCAATCCCCACTCCAGGCCATTTTTGCCAAGGCCACACAAAGAAGACCAGAGTAAGATTCAATTCAAAATTATTTTATTGTCATTCACATATTTAATAGAAAAAGAAATGCAGCAAATGGTTCAAGGTTGTATTTTTAAAATCCAGGTTTGTGCAGGTTGGTCTGTTTATATCTGGGAGCAGAGCTGTCCCCACATCAGGCACAGCAGCTGCACTTCTCCAATGCCCCTTTGCAGATGCAGCCCTGGGCACACTTGGCACAGCCCACGGGGCAGCAGGAGCAGCAGCCTAGGGAAGAAGGGGAGAGTGAGAGGTGGTCTTGACCAGGCACCTCCCTGCCCCAATAGCAAGCCTGGCTCCAGCTCAGACCCCAGACCCAGACGATGCTTTTTTTAGCTTGGTGCAACTCTGTTCTGAAACCATGGGTGGTACAGTTTGGGTTTGTGTTGCAACAGAAAAAATATTTGCTGTTCTGTCTGAACTCAGGGCACAAAGCATGGAGAGAAAATGACACGGCCAAAGTTCCCCAGTTCCCCAGAAGGATGCACTCAGGGCCAGCCTAGGGTTCCCTCCCAACCTACGCCACAGTCCCAGATTCCTGGAGATAGCCCCACACTCACTCTTCCTGCAGGAGGTGCATTTGCACTCTTTGCACTTGCAGGAGCTGGTGTATGTGCAGGAGCCACCTGCAAGGAAGAGAAAAGGCGGTGGGCAGTGAGTGAGATGCAGAAGCAGCAAGTCAATGAGTCTCCAGTGTCGCCTCCTCTGTGCAGGGCCAGCCCTCAGAGCTCCTTTCTCACTCAGGACAGAGGAACAGAAGCCCCATATCCTCTCCACTCACGCTGGGAAGGGGAAGCACCCTCCTGTTTTACCCCACCAGAAGGTCCCAGGTGCACACACAACCCGGAATACTGAGATGGAGAGCCAGAACCTACTGTCCTGAACCCTCAGGGTTCAATGCCTCCAGCCCCCATCCACCCTGATTGCTCAGAGCCTGGACAGAGCACTGGGGACCAGCCAGCAGTCCCCTGACCAACTGGGTGATTTGCAGCAGGACAGCCTTGAGCCTCAGCGTCCTGAACTCTTACTTAGAGGCCCAGGGAGGAGGGCAATGCTCTCAGGGGTGTGATCAGGAAGAAAACACCTAAAGAAGTAAAGGAATCTCCTTCCTCTCAGAATTTCAAATACGACCTCAGGCTGGGCATGATGGCTTACGCCTGTAATCCCAGCACTTTGGGAGGCTGTGGCGGGCGATCGCGAGGTCAGAAGTTCGAGACTAGCCTGACCAACATGGTGAAACCCGTTCTCTACCAAATATACAAAAATTAGGCGGGCCTGGTGGCGTGCGCCTGTGATCCCAACTCCTCAGGAGGCTGAGCCTGGAGAATTGCTTCAACCCGGAGGCGGCGCTTGTAGTAAACCGAGATTGAGCCATTGCACTCCAGCCTGGGCGACAGAGCAGGACTCCCTCCCGGCGCTCCTCCCCACCCTAAAAGCGACCTCCTGAAACCCAGGGACCCTCTGTCCTGGGCCTGGGAAATGGAGATCCCAAGGCGCAGAGTCGGGCTTCCCTTACCAGTGGCGCAGGAGCAGTTAGGGTCCATTTCGAGCCGCGGTGAGGCTGGAGAACCCAAGCGAAAGGTCGAGAGACTCTGAGGTACGTGTTAGGCCTAGTGGAGCCCAACAGCCGCGGCTGCTTTTATAGTTCGGGAAGGGGGCCGGGCGCAGAGGCCCCGCCTCGGGCTTGCACCCGCTCCGCAGAGTTCCAGTGGCCCGCGGTTCTGGGCTGTGCTGTGCGCAGCTGAGGGTCTGGGCGCACAATCCCCTGAGCTCTGCTTGGTGCACACAGCGGCACCTTTGGCGCTCGCTCGCGCGGGAGGGGCTGTGTCCCCGAGGTCCCCGCAGCCTTTCCCAGTTTCCACGAGGTTGCCTTCCCCTCGCTTCCCCGCGCGATCCGGGAACCCAGCCTTGGCCTCGCGATCGTCTCCACCCCACCCGTCGCCCCGCCATTTTCGGCACTGCCTGTCCCGGAGTCCCTGTGCAGCCCCAGCCTCCTGCTCCCGTCCCGGGATCCGCTAAGTGCAGAGCGGGGAGGGTGCGGTTGAGAGCGAGTTGTATACAGAGCTCCCGCCACCCATGTGGCTTTCGTTTCTCCTCGTCCCCCGCCATGCCTGTCCCTGTCCACACCTAGGCACCTCGGACCCGCTCCTAGGTGCACAGCAACACCGGAACGCGGGGCGGCCTCTCTCTCGCGTCCATTCTGCTCTCCTGAAAGGATGTCGGGACGCGTTTCTCCAGGTCCTCCTTTGCATATAAGTCTCCATGCTCCCCACAGCCTTAGGGCGGCCCCACTACGGAATGGCAGTTCTGGACCTGTGGGATCTCTCCCCAAGGAGATTCAACTTCAGGTGATACGCAGACCCTGCTTTAAATTAGAAAGCAAGATGGGGAAGGTGGCAGGAAGCTGTAGTTCCAGCTACTTAGGAGGCTGAAGCAGGAGGATCAGTTGAGTCCAGGAGTTTGAATCATGCCTGGACAAGACAGGGAGTCAATGTCTCTAAAAAATTTTTTTAAAAAGACATCCAGTTACTTCTCTTCAGTATACCTGATTATTGCATAACATTAAATCTATACAAGTCCTTTTTTTTTTTTTTTAAGTTGATATCTGGCTCTGTTGCCCAGGCTGGAGTGCAATGGCGTGATCTCGGCTAACTGTGCAGCCTCTGCCTCCCAGTTCAAGAGATTCTCCTGCCTCAGCTGTCACCTGAGTAGCTGGGATTACAGGCACCAGCAACAACGCCTGGCTAATTATTTTGTATTTTTAGTAGAGACAGGGTTAGGCCATGTTGGCCAGGCTGATCTTGAACTCCTGACCTCATGATCTGCCCACCCCAGCCTCCCAAAGGGCTGGGATTATAGGCGGGAGCCACTGCACGCCCCCCACTAGTCCCTTTTCAAACACTTTCATTCTTTGAATCCTCACAGCAATCTTAAATGGAAATAGTGTTTAGGAACTAGTTTTGCTCGTCAGGGGACTACAAAGAAATGAGTTCAAGTAACTGGCTCGTCATTAGAGAGATGAAAAGTTGTGCACTGATTTAAATCCAGCCAGCCTCTTTGAGGAAGGTGTCCATGATAAAGCGTTCCTCTGGCCCAGGTAGGTCATCAACACTTCTCTATGACCAGAAATAGTTTAAACAAGGGCCGGGCAGCGTGGCTCACACCTGTAATTCCGTGAAAAACAAGGACACTGAACATCTGGCACAGAGGCAGAAGTAGGAAGGGCACTGAGCTGGCAGCCATGCCCTCTGCGTAGCTCAGTGACCTCAGCTTCAATGCACCACCTCTCAAGCCAGGGACACAATTGGGCTAACTGACCAAGGGCCCACCCAGCTCTGAACTCTGAGAGGCAGGGCTTAGCACCAACTGACAACATGATCTGCCAGCTGTAGCCAAGACAAGAGGCCAGCTGTAGTGGAGGTTCCGACCTCTCACTTGTGACCTTGGACAGGTTGCTTAACCACTCTGGAAGGTGACATAATCACTCTTTGACTGGCTTATGGGGTGTTCAGATGATAGGAAGAATTAGAATGGTTCTTGTGTTTGTTCAAATGCTGTGGCAGCATCTTCATCCCAGAGGACTTTGTGTGGGAAGTCATCCACCCTCCCCTGCTACACAGTCAGGAAGGCTTTACTCCACTCGCCAGCCTCTGACCCGGAGTAATTCTTCCCAGACCTGTTTTTCCCCAAGAGCTTATCAAGAGAGAGTCTGTCTCCAAGAGCATCCATTTAAACAGAGTGATCCTAATGGTCATTAAACCCTACTCAGGAGCCAGGCCAATATCTCATTTAATCCATAAATAGGGATACCATCTTCTTTCTACAGATGAGGACATGGAGGCTCAGAGAGGTTGAGTGACTTGCCCAGGCCACACAGCCAGTAAGTGGTGAAGTGGGCTGTGAGCTCGGGACTGCCTGACATGAAAACCCAAGCCCTTGGCACAGTCTGCCTTTAAAACTCTATATGGAGCACCTTCAGGCAAGTATGCTCCTGATTCCTGGGCCAAGCGACTCATCATCCTCTTTGACTGAACATCAAATAACATTCCCTCCACATAGCCAGGGGGACTAACGTTGGCTTTAATTACAAGTCACTCAGAGCTTCACTCCTTTCTAATGAGTGCCACCATGCCCTCCAAACCGCTGAATGCCATCACCCCAGGTGTGGACAAACAGGAAGAACTTCATCTGCCACCCATGATCACACACACTTCATCTTGCTGGGAACATGCTGGGCATTTCGTCACATCCCCAGCCATTTTGCTGGTTTAAGTAGCCAATGGCTGAAATTTGAGAGGAGTAAATTCAGCCTGACCTTGGGAGGAACTCACAAAGATTCAGAACCAAGGCACAACAGGGAGCTCTCAGGGGTCTGCAAGTGTCTTCAGTGACTCTGGGCAGGCCAAGCCTGATGGCTCCTTGTGGAGATGTCTGGATCAGTGCTGCTGAGGGTGTGCCAGCCATACACTCGGGCCAGTCTCAGAACTGTCTCCAGGATGCAAACCTGGAAACCCCTGGACAAATCTGTAGTGCTGGTAATTCTTTTATTTTTCCTATGTAATTTGTTCTTCAAATATTTATTGGAATTTTCCTGTCGAATCTAAAAAATGGTCGTTGTGTCTTTTAAACCTTCATTTTCTTGTTAACTCGTTATTTTACCAGAATTTAGGTCTATGACTAATGGAAAACAAAACAAAACTGGTCATTCACGGCAGGGAGTTTTGGAAATCCGATGTCAGATTCTAGCCACTGGGGAGTTGGATATCACCCCCTGGGGTCACTTTCAAGTCTAAAATCCCATGAAGAACTGAAGTTGGGTAGGGAAATCAGAAAGTGGAAATGAGGAATGGCGAAGTTTCTGTGCCACATTTGACATGACACAAACTGATTGTGTATGTGTCTCTCTTGCCCCCATATGATCTGGCACAACACCATTCAGTTTTACAGAAGATGAAACTCAGTGTGGTAGCCTGGCTTGCCTGAATACACTGTTTCTTAGCAGCTGACACTTCCATCCACAGGCCAGGTCTCTGCCCTCCTAGTTCAATCCCTCACCCCAGTCTCTTATTTTTAAGGCATATAAAGGAAGCCAGAGGCAGAATCAAGTCAAAGCTCTTTTATTATCACTCACATTATTTCATAGCAAAAGGAATGTAGCAAAAGGATCAGGGTTGTACTTAAAAAAAAATCCAGGTTTGTAGAGATCATGTTATTTACATATGGGAGCGTTTTACTTAAAAAAAAATCCAGGTTTGTAGAGATCATGTTATTTACATATGGGAGCAGGGCTGTCCTGGCATCGGGCACAGCAGCTGCACTTGTCCAATGCCCCTTTGCAGATGCAGCCCTGGGCACACTTGGCACAGCCCACGGGGCAGCAGGAGCAGCAGCCTGGTGACAGAGAGGAGGCAGCAGAGATGAGTACGAGGGACACAGTGAAGGATTCCTGCTCTCCCTGATAAGAATCACTGAGGAGGCAACAACTTCCATGAAACAGCTTTCAGCAGAGAGGGAACATGAAGGTGGTCCCTAACCCAAAATTGGGAGCTTTCTCTCGCAGTGTGACTGGGTCCAGGGCTTTTATGAGTTCAGAATGGGGAGTGCATGTTGATTGGTTTGTGAGTATGTGAAAAAGGTTAAAACAAAGGCACAACTCACAGATGGGCATAACAGTGTAAAAAAACAATTACGGAAGAGTAGGTCTATGTAAAATAGGTAAAGCAATTGGAGGAACGTGCGCCAGATGAGAAGACAGGTTCTGAATTCAGGCTTGGCTTCGGGCATTTGGCTGCCTCCTGCCGCTTTCACTATGCTCCACTCCCACAGTTTCTGACTCAGTGATCTGGGATTACAACCTGAGAAGTTTCATTCCTTTTTTTTTTTAATTAGTAAATTTAATTTTGAGTTCTGGGATACATATGCAGGACATGCAGATTTATTACATAGGTAAGCATGCGCCATGGTGGTTTGCACCTATCAACCCATCACCTAGGTATTAAGCACCGTATGCATTAGCTCTTTATCCTGATGCTCTCCTTTCCCTACCCCCCTCACCCCAAAAGTCCCCAGTGTGTGTTGTTCCCTCCTTGTATCCATGTGTTCTCATTGTTCAGTTCTCACTTATAAGTGCGAACATGCAGTGTTTGGTTTTCTGTTCCTGCATTAGTTTGCTGAAGATAATGGCTTCCAGCTGTATCCATGTTTCTGCAAAGAACCTGATCTCATTTCTTTTTCTGGATGCATAGTATTCCATGGAATATATGAACTACATTTTCTTTATCCAGCCTATCTTTGTTGGGCATTTGGGTTAATTCCATGTCTGCTATTGTGAATAGTGCCGCAGTGAATGTACACATGCATGTATCTTTATAATAGAATGATTTATATTCCTTTGGGTATCTACCAGCAATGGGATTGCTGGGTCAAATGGTATTTCTGGTTCTAGGTCTTTGGGAATTGTCACGCTGTCTTCAACAATGGTTGAACTAATTTACATTCTCAGCAACAGTGTGAAAGCATCACTATGAGAAGTTGCATTTCTAACAAGTTTGTGGAGGTACTGATGCTGCTGGTGTGGGAGCAGTACTTTCAGAACCACTGTCTAGATTCTAAATATAAATTGTTAAGTTTAACTGAAGAACAAACCGAAAACCAA